GAGAGCCGCTGTCCGTAGTGGGCTGGTGCTGGTGCTCGCACTGGGCGTCGATGCTAGTACGCTGGGACTGGGCCTGCGCAGCTGCGTCTGGGCTTACTACGTTGCTACTGGGCGTGGCGCCTGGGAAACGCGTGGGGCTGCCTGGAGAAGTAGCATGACCTGGGCTCGTGCAAGCGCCATCCGCAGTCTCAAGAGGCTCATCATGATGCTCAATGTCCACACATCCATCAAAATCCACAAAATTATCATGTACGTCAACATTGGCATCAAAATCACGAAAGTCAATATTAACATCCTCTGAATTAGCAAAAGGAAATACGTCCTCAATAAATTTGACATCTCGAGACATAAAAAAAACTTTGGTTTCAAGATCTTACAATCTCCATCCTTTCTTACCAAAGGGGTAACCCACAAAAACACACTTTCGACTCCGACTTGCAAACTTATCACCATTAGTTTTCTGATTGTGAGCAAAGCATAGGCAACCAAAAGTACGAATGGCATCAAACAAGGGAGGTTTATTAAACAGAATTTCAAACGGAGTTTTATTATGTAATAACGGGGTTGGGGTTCTATTGATAAGGTGGGCTGCAGCAAGAATACACTCACCCCAAAAAAAGATAGGTAGTTTAGCCTGAAATCTCAAGGCCCTCCTAACCGATAGAATATGTTTATGTTTCCTCTCAACCCTCCCATTCTGTAGCGGGGTGCCCACACAGGAAGTCTGAAAAAGTATACTAGTGGCCTCAAAATATTCACGTAAACAATTAAACTCCGTACCATTATCACTTTGGACTACTTTTATATTTTTAGAAAACTGTCGCTCAAACATAGCCACAAACATTAAGAACATACGGAAAACTTCTATTTTATCATTTAACAAATAAACCCACACAGCTCTAGAATAATCATCTACTATAGTTAAAAAATAACGAGCTCCGCACGACGAAACATGTCTATACGGTCCCCACAAATCACAATGAATTTTATCAAAAATGCCAGACGCTTTATTATCACTTAAGGAAAAACTATCTCGAGGTTGCTTAGCACGCATACATACTTCGCACCCTTTATTAAGACTAGACTTGCTACTAACAGTCGAAAGTAACTTAACCACTTTCTCGGAAGGATGACCCATACGACGACGCCACAATTCCAAATCTGAATTTGCAGCTACAGAATCACATGATGCACCGTATCCGTGTTGCTAAAATAATACAGTCCGTCCTTCCTAGCTCCCGTTCCAATCAGCTCCTTCTTTTAGTCCTGTATAGCACACATGTAAGTATTAAATTGATCAATACAATTGAGGTCGTCACTTAGTTGAGAAACATAAATTAAATTACAACTCAATTAGGAACAAAAAGCACTCTAGGAGGGTAATTTTATCTGTCAAACGGACGGAACCAATTAGAGAAGCCAATACGTTTTCACCATTAGGCAAATAAACCAACCGGACACTAAAAGTCCCTTGTGTCAAAAAGCCAAGACTGTTCTCCGGTGACATGATGAGTAGCACCAGTGTCAATAATCCAAGAAGTATAATCAAACTTACCGTTCAAACGATTATCAGCAATCGAAGCATTACTCATCAAAACCGTAATTGCTTTCCACTGCTCACTAGAAAATAAACGACCCAAAGCAAAAGTGCTTGAGTCCTCCAAGCTACTGCCTGTGAAAGCGTTAGCCTTTTCCGGAGCCCCATGACCCCTGCCAGAAGAAGCCTTACCCCCTGGCTCCCAGCAGCTCCTTCCGGCCAGCCATGCTTATCGTAGCACCGAGACTCCTCGTGGCCACGCTTCTTGCAATAGGCACATACTTTGTCTGACCAGCAGCGCACGGTCTCGTGTCCTGTCTTCTTGCACTTCTCGCATACAACGCTACTTCCCTGCCCAGCTCCAGCACCACGCCCTTGCCCTGTACGCACAGCAAAGCCGAGAGCAGGGGAGGTGTCCTCCTTGAGACGAGAAATCCCACGCACCTTTTCTTCTTGAGAAACCTGTTGATATGCTTTATTGAGGGATGGCAGGGGGTCGAGGGACAGCAAAGTAGAGCGTATAGGTGAATAAAATTCAGAATATAAACCCAACAAAAATTGTTGCAGACTATCTTTATCACGCCTGTCTGCGTGTTGTTTGCCCACATTGCACGAGCACTTCCCACACTCACACGAGATTAAGGGTTCAAGCCGATCGAGTTTGTCCCACAACACTGACAGTTTACTATAATACGATGCGACTGTCATGGTTTTGGATTGTGCACAGTTATTAATATCAGATTTAATTTGCTGAATTCTTGGACCATTAACTAGACAAAAACGTTCATGTAAGTCATCCCACAATTGCTTGGCATTATCGTAATGTAAAAGCATAGATTTAACCTCGGGATCAATAGTGTTCATTAGCCAAGAAACAAGCATAAAGTAAATTGTTACCCAATCCTCTTTCGTCCATGGAGGTTCAAACGTGACTAAAATTCCATCAAGAAAACCAAACTTACGACGAGAACACAAGGCTATCCGAACAACATGAGACCACGCATGAAAGTTATCTAATTTGAGGCGTTGAGTGGTGATAGAATCCCCCGACCTATCTTGAGGACCAAGATAGAAGGGGGAAGCAGAATCAATCCGGGATGGAGGTGAAGGGGTGTCACCACCACCACCCGGCATTGGAAAGTTTTAGGAAAAAAATTTCAACTTGTTCTTGATACCATGTAAAATTATGTAAACTTGTGACTTGATTTTATTAATTGATCAATTCCCCATATTTATACAAGAGTAGTCCTAGATCATCACAAACACCAAAACTTATCCTAGCTTATCTTAAACACCTTAATCCTAAGTTATCTCAAGTTAGGTAGCTAGAAATTAGGAAACAATCATAAAAGATAAGAACTACCAAATATATTCTACCCTATCTTAATATAATCACAAAAATTATCCGTAATACATTCTTTGTATGTACCATTTACCATATCAATTCGCTGAACTTGATTTGCATTAATAATATTACCCGTTTGTTCCGCGTCACTCTCAAAATATACTTGTTGCACCCCTATATTCCTATAACGGGAAATCCATGTTGTATTGATAGGAGTTTACACAACATATATGCAAAAAGACCTAAACATTTTTTAGTACAAAAAAAAAGAACGAGTTTTTGTAGAAAATGGAATTGGAGCAGCAAAACAATACACTTAGCAATGAGAGAACTACTAGTAAAGTATGTAGAGGTAGGCATCGTGCCGTGCCTGGCCGTGCCTAGTGGTGGCTCGTTCCGTGCCGTGCCAGCTAAGAAGCGGGCCGTGCCGTGTTGTGCCTGGTTCTGGCACATCCCAGCCCACGGCACGGCACGACCCACGTGCCTGCCGTGCCGAGCAGCGGACCGCCACTTTAATTTATTTATTTTTCTGTTTTTTGTTTTTAATTTACAGATTTTTACATATATTAATATATGTACATATTAATATATGTACATATATTAATATATGTACAATATACGTACATACATGTACATATAACAACCCATGTGAAAACTTCATTACTACAACCCATGTGAAAACTTCATTACTACAACCCAATTCAACAATGCATGTACTCCCAAAACAGATAACGACATAATCCTTGTCACCCTGACTTTACTCTGAGATTGGAGGAACTTCTGAATAGGGAAGTTTAAGGCATATCCAAACATTTGAGGAATAGACCACAATGCGTATTTTCCTGCAAGTTCCGAAATGTGTTTGTCTTGTCGAAGGAGCTTTAGTATCGGCGAAGTAAAGATGTATACTGGTGTTAGAAGCAGGGCAGTAGTTAGAGTAATAATCCATGATCTTTGCATGTAAATTCCAAGCATATTGAACTGTCTTGCGCCTACTGCTTGTCCACATTTCCGAAGTTGTTTACTGACAAGCCGCCTGTCATATTTGAGGCTTCGAAGCTTGGTTATTTACTTGCAGCTACCATATTTTTTAATAGCATCCAGATAGTTCTTCAAGGTATACTATTGGAGTATTGGAAGTTTTATGTCTTCCTACAATAGAATAACTATCTCAGCATTTTCAGGAATTTAGGATTTTACAAATTGTGCATATTCTCATGAAACATTAATCTTCAGGTGTTGCAGTTGGGGCCGGATGGCAATCCTAGGCCGCGTTTATAACCACTGGCTGCTACTACTTAGTCGGGCTACCAGTTTGTGTTCTTCTTGGTTACAAATTTAAGCTTGGTGCTCATGGACTTAGGGCAGGATTGCTAATTGGTGTTTTACTTCAAACCGCAATTTTGCTACTCATTGCATGGAGGACTAATTGGAATAAAGAAGTAAGTTTTGATATACGAGCTTCTTTTCACCCTAAAAAAAACTCATATAAGGGCTACCCAATTTTTTTCACAACTAAAATAAGTTATTGAGTTTATATTATAGCTTACAATGCCTATAAAATTTAATCAGCCAAGATGTGACTACTGTCTAAATGGTTATTAGATCCTTCATTTGAACAACAATAAATTCTTTGCTTGTTTATCTTGCAGGCCTCTCAAGCGAAGAAACGGATGAGAGCATGGGGTGGCTCTACTGATTCTATGTCAACATAAATACGTAGTAGCTCATTTAGAATAGGTTTAACTCTAGAATTGTAACCCGGAAACTGTTTTCTTATGAAATACAAATAAATACTTCTTATATTACTTAGTTACTTCGTATTTCACAATTAGCACAACTGGAATCACGGAATGAGAGCTTATTGGCATATCTCTGACATCAATAGCGGATCTTAGACTAAAAGGTATGGGGAGGCTAAGTTTCTCCAAGTAGGAGTTAAACACTCACTACACAAGCCCAATGCCAAGCCTAGTCATACATAATGCTTGTTTTTCACGATATTATTACTCGCAACACATTGTATTCCCTTCGTCCCTATATATTTGTCTGATTGTCTCGTACTCATTCGAACAAGCTTTAAGCAAGTGAATACCAGAGAGGAAGAAAATGGGTGGATCATAGTACTTCACTTCTAACTAATATTGCAAGCAACTTGTTAGCTAGATAAACTCACCATTTCATTCATTCATCAACTATAGCTACACAGAATCAGTTGTAAGAATACAACCCTTTAAATGAATATACATTATAAATTACACATTACTATCTTACATCCTCAAGCGGCCACAGCTTCACGCAGCAGTACCTCTTCCCGTTTAATGTCAAAAATCTTGATCAAGGCATCTTCCACAACCTGGTAAGATAAACACAATAAAATGATCAGGGTCGATCACTGAAATCTAAAAATTTGATACAGAATCTTAAACAAAATAAAAACTAGTTGCAGAAGCCATCTTATCTCTATTTGCAGCAATAATGGTATGTGCTGCTTAATATCATAAACATTGCAAATGAGAAACTCAGATTCTAGCCTAGCAGTTATAGCAGTCAAAATCCAAAGAAGATGTTTCAACTTTCAAGTGTATACATACCTTATCTGGGGTAGAAGCACCAGATGTTACTCCGATAGTGATTGGTCCTTCTGGTAACCAATTTTCTTTTTCAACTAGCTCCCCATGCTGAGTAGATAAGCTATGGTGAGTAACAACATATGGATAATATGATATAGCAGAAGGATATGAGGAATAACATTTTGATAATATGATATAACAGTAGAATATCTGTATTCTATACTTACATTCAATTTGTAACTTATTTTATTTCCAGGGCCTATTCTTGCTTCACTGTCAATCCAATATGATGGGATCCCGCGTTCCTCAGCTATTTCTTGCAGATGAGAGGTGTTGCTGGAGTTCCAGCCTCCAACCACCAGCATAAGATTAATCTTTTCATCCACCAACTTATACATTGCATCTTGTCGCTCCTAGAGAAAGAAAGAGTAAGTAAACACAATTACACAACAAGAATTTCATAAGAATCTTTGGGCAACTTGGAAGCACATGACAATGCAATGCTAAGTGACACTGTCTCATTATAATGTTGTAGCTTATAAGACGCTTTGTTCAGGTTCTAACAGAAGGGACTTGATGGAGGATTAAAAACATTTAGGCCTTGTCAGAATTACCAACTTTTAGCCAAATCCTAGATATTTCTTGGACCAGAGGTGAGCACCTATGAACCCTGAATTGTGCAGGAATTTCCCTGGTCTAGCAGTATTTTTTGAACTGGGAGAAATTAAGCAGGTTAGCAGATAACTGCTACTGAATATGAATATCTTTCATTTAGTAAAAATACTAAAGTTAAAAGAGTTAAACTGGTCTTAAGGATTGGGGAGCACAGAGAGGAGAGAGTACTTGAGTAGCATCACAAATTGTGTTGAAACTCATGAAGTGGTTGTTTATATTTTCAACTCCATACTTGCGCATCATAGTTCTCTCAACCAGCTTTCCTACAAAATTGAGATAAGATACTCATTAGAATCGTTGGTCAACAAAATTACAAGACATAACATAACTCTGCAAAGTATGAGCTGTATAACTAACCGATTTCTTCTGTTTCTCCCTTGAGCATAGTAGTTTGGTTTGCAATTCCAACTTTTACAAGGTCTCTGTCCGGATCAAACCCATCGGAAACAGCATTTTTGAATTTCTGCAAGAAGGGGATAAAAAAAAAAACCTACCATTATTAAAGGAGCAAAAGAGACAGAGTAAGCTATCCCTTAAGCCAACATACTTCATAGTATGAGTGGAAGAAGATACCTTTAGAAATGCCTCTCTGGTTGAGCTAGACCCATCAAGTTGCCCGCCAAGAATATAATCGCATACATAAGTTGCCTAGATGGGCACATATATTGAAGATATAAAGCAATGTACAATATTACTACGATGAAGATAATGCTAGCTAAAATAATGTGGAACATAATTTACCTCTTTCATATTCTTCACAACAACGTATGTCCCAGCAAAAGATGAAGTCGCAACAGTCTCCTCATGAGCATACTTCCCATGAATAATTGAAGTATAATCTCCTCTCTTGTGCTTCTCCACTACGTTCCACACCTATAAAGATATTCATGCTCATAGAAAAGCATAAGAGACAGTGAAGTCATCAAACATATAACTCACTGAGAGAAGAAATTGGAACAGAAGTTCTTATACCTTGTTCACCCAAGGGCAAGTTGTATCTACTATCTGTACTTTTTTCTCACTCAACGTCAACATTTCATCTACAGCAGCTCCAAAAGCTGGTAAAATCACAACATCACCTTTGTCAACTACCTCAAATTGCTTCTTTCCATCCTCAAGAGGAATATTCTGCACTTCCATTTCTTCCAGTCGCTGCAACAAAATAATTCAATTATTTCAATAAATCATGGCTGTTTTATATATGAGCACAGAAGGGAGTGACACTGACCATGCTAATCAAGGGAACTCATTCTGCAGCCCTGCAGGTAAACTGCATGCACAAAAAGGGGCTACACTCTAACTTAAATTAAAAATAAATGCAGTACGGTGCGATAAAATGCTTGATAGAATATGAAGTAAATGCATTAGACATAGTAGGGGAGATGATAAAAATCTGATATAGTCTCCCCAGGAATTCAAATGTATACTCATGTAAATTACAAAGTTCAGAGCAGGCAAGTCAAGTATCATGGACATACAGTGTTTTAATTGCAATTCAACATTATTACTCATTATCAACTATCAAGTTCTCATTTTTCAGCAAACAATAAGTTTAGATGCATTTACTTCATATTCTATTTCAAATGCTCTATATTTCACTTGATCTCAAAAGCTTGAGATAGAATATGTCATCCTACTCCTACTGCTAATATATGATCCTACGAAATTAATCAAAAAAAGACTTGTAGACCTTATTAACAGTCGGGTTGTGGATAATTTCGTTAGTGATCCAGATTCTCTCATCGGGAAACTGTTTCCTCGCTTCATACGCAATCTGAACTGCTCGTTCCACGCCCCAGCAAAATCCAAATGCTTCCGCTAACTTCACCGTGACATTACCCCATGTATACACGTATCCATTCTCCTTCAAAGTCTTTATTACATCACCTGATGTAAACGATAGGAAACAGAACAAAAAACTGTCAATACAATTTATCCACCAATCTACACAAACTATATCATTTATAAAAACAATAAAGATCATAAAAACTCAGCATATAAACCGAATTTATACAAATCAATTAAAAAACACCAATTTCACAATCACCAATCCACATAAATTATACGAGCATATTTTCAATTAAAAAAAATCATGAAAAGCTCAGCATATCTACTAACTTCATACAGAAATTAACTTAAGAAACACCAATTTCACAAATTCAAGCTAAATGATCATAGAAATGACTCAAATGAACTGAATTGTAAAATTTACACATCATTCGTAGCACAAACAAATTCAATTAATCAATCATCAAAACATTAATTGCAAACTATATCCAATTTGATGACCCAGATAAGTTCATTTATAATTCAAACATTAATCATAGCATCTAAAAATCAGAAAATCAATCAACAATTTCACGCACTCCAATAAAAACCAACAAAAATAGGGGAAAACAAAAATCAACCATAAAATTCACAGAAATTACAACAAATTGAACAATGAAAAAGATCGAAAATTAAAGAAACGTAACTAGTATACTCGCGATTCATAAGCTGGAGAGTCTCGGCTTTGTGTCCAAAACCTTTACGATTGTAATTCTCACTCCTGGTCAAGTTGTGATGGAACTTCTTAGCGTCAAAATTGGTATCAACGGCGGAAGATGAAGAAGAAGACGACGACGACGAATCTCCGACGGCGCAACGGACGGAAAGATGAGGTTTCCGGTGAAAAATTGCACGGCCGTAAGTTTCCGGCAAGCGGAGGTCGGTAAAGGTGAAGACGCGGCAGAGATGAGGCGAAATCGCCATTGTTGATACTGATTGAAGCTCGCAGAAGACAGAGGAGAGAGAAAGACTTTGGTTGAAAGAAATTTACAAGAAGTTCAGTTTGGTAACTGGGTAATGAAATGAATGGAGTTTTGATTTTGTTTATTTTTTATTGTTGTATTATCAATTTTATCATCGTTGATTTATGAACTTGTACCGAGTAGTCTTGTGTAAGTTGTAATGTGATTATTTGATTATTAGAAAATTAATTCTCGCCAAACACATGGGTTCGTAATTGTGGAGTCCTGTGGACTCTTTAGTCTTTTTCATTAAGTCTAACAAATTGTTACTCCTTAATCATATCAGTCATATAATCATACGAGTCATATCACGGTAATGTTCAATGTTTAAAACTATTTTAACATAATTTTTGTATATTTAGTATGAGGGATATGGATAAGAGGTTTGGATAAGGATAGGATATTTGACTAATTGAGATCTCAGTTGATTAAATGTGAATTAAATTGTCATTTATAGAAAGTGGTAATTCATAAGAAATTATGTTCTTAATGTTAATTAACATAAGAAAGTGGTAATTCATAAGAAGTTGTTTGGCTTTGGCAATGCGGAGTATTCTCATGAATTTTAATTGACTAAGGAGATCTTAGTAATTTGCTTAAAATTGGGGGGATTAAGGTGTACCCAAGGGTATTTTCTACTCTATGTACACCCGGATGTATATAAAAGGTGTTGATAATTTTGTGGAAGGTTGAAGTACTCATGAATTTTCATTTTCCATTTTTATGTTTTTTGTATTAACCAAATAACTTTCCAAATTACCAATTGCCACGATTCTTCACTTTTTCATTTTATTTTATCAAGCAACAAGGCCTTATAAGTGTATCATACACTTATACACATATGTGCACAACTGGACTAACACATGCGTTAATGTACATTTGTTAGATTTGTGCTATTTGTGTGCTTAAGTTTACAAGATAGATTAAGTGAATATTGGAATCTATATTTCCAAATTAATTATTTAATCTATGAATAACAAACAAAATTCAAAACATTATTGCATTACTAATTACAAATAGGGGTGAGATTGTGAGAGATACAAACAAATGACCTATCGACTATTGTATACAAACCCTCAATCTTTACCACAGAGTCAAGATTTGATTAATTCATTTTTTCATCCTTATTTATTCTAGCACACATTTTTTCATTCTTATTATTAAACGGTAAACATACATTTATCATGGAATAATATAATGTTGATAATTCACGGTAAATACGGAGTAAAATTCAACTTTAACTATAGCCATCGATTTTGTGATCAATATATTCCATACGTCTTTATGAACCTTAAAAAAAAAAACACACACACAAAAAATGGAGAATGGATTAGAAGAAGAGATACCCAAAACCTAAGTGGCCCAAACAAAATTTAGAGTACACATCTCAACCACAATTTGTAAGTTTAGTGAGGACCCAATTGTCCCAATCATATCTTGATGAGTCTTTAAACTCAAGAATTTAAGGAGATTATTACTCATACACTTCTACTCTTGAGTGTTGAGTTTTGAAATAGCGGGAACCATAAAATTCACGCAAAATTCTTTCAATTTCATAAAATGGAGCTTCATTCCTTACAACATTCATTGTCTCCTTTAACTAATCTACCTACCCCGCTATTATTTCGAAGTAATTTCGTAAAAAAATGTTATCTTTATGATCGGTTCATCAAGTTTTCCGGTCCTACGAAATACCCAGGTGCTAGAAGTTTCCAGAAATCATACTTTAAAGCTCAATTATCATCTGGTATGAACTTCTTCTTGTGAAAATATAATTTGGGTTTCTGATTATTTTTTGTGTTATTGTATTATGTTCTGTTTTTTAATTACTTTAATTTAATGGGTTTATTTGTTCAATTGTTTATTTATTTATTTTTTATTTTTTTATTTTATTTTAATTTTTTATTTAATTGAATTTGGGTGGAAAATGAGGTACATTGGTTATTTTTTTTTTTTATTTTTTTTTTGTTGTGGTTGAATTTTGAATCATCTTTATGCATTTGTGACTCAAATTGAATGTTTTAGTTGATCTGAGAGTTATTTGTTTGGTTATTGATGAATAATCTGAGTAGAAAAATTGAGACATAGGAATAGGTGATGAAAGATGTGAATGTGATCAAGTATGATTTTTGTTAGGTTAAAGCTTCTTAAGGGTAATGGATAGAGTCATAGATACAATGTGTGTTTGAATAATCATAGAAAAGTCTGGAATTAGATTTGTGTAATTTATTACAAGATTGTGTATTTGTGTAGGTTTGGAGTTTTTTGACATTATGGAATTTTGAAGGTTTGAAGTAAGTAAAAAATATAGAATTGGATGTTATGGAATTTTGTGGGCTTGGAGTGTGCTAAAAAGTAAAATGCGATTGAAAGTTCTAGGAATGAGACTAAGTAGTGCTAGGAACATTTTTGAAGAATTATGTGGGTAGAAGAAAGAGAGATTGTGATGGAAGACACTTGAAGTTTGGAGGTTAGCAGAGAGTAAATGCCGATACATATAAACTATAATTAAGCTAGCTTACTTTGAGTTTAGTATGTGAAGAGCTAAGAGTTCTCACCAGAAGATATGGTGCGGGAAGTACTCACCAAGTAGGGAGAGACAAGAGCTCACTTTAAGTAGGAGATCTGAGCTATGTGCTCGCACCAAGTATAAGCTGTGTAGATGAGGAGTAACTCACTAACTCTCCTACTATTAAAATTGTTGTTTAATATGTAATCAAATACCCGTAATTCATTACATAAATAAAAAATGAATTATAATTCATGATGGTATAAAATTGCTGTAATTTCAGGCGGTCAGGCCCATTATACTTCATGTGTAATTGTGTACCCCAAAATTCTATCCATGTGGCTAAGAATATGCACCTGAAGTTGTTCTGAGTATTGTACATTTGTAATGATAATAACTTATTAAACTTTTGAATGGCCCAAGTGTTCTAATGATAGGTATTTGTTAAAAAATGATTTATTTTGTAGTAGTGTTTAAATGGACCAATTCATCATCACAAGATGGTACTAGGTTGGGCTCTTTAAACTTTTGTAATGAATTGTTCCAATTTGGATTTATATTTTGTTATTCACATTTTGTCCAAAACTTGTTTCGTCATACAGTAAACTTGCATTTTTGCTAGGTGCTATAAGATTCAGCTCTTCAACAGTTGAGGCAACTACGGAGAATCTTGATTCCAAAGAGGAAGATGTTGTATTTGTTGCTGGTGCAACTGGTAAAGTTGGCTCACGAACTGTCAGGTTAGAAGCCTTAGTAAAAAAACTCAATGATGATTTCTTAGAATTTGACCTTTAGAACTTGTGGTTTGACTGTTTGAGTTTCTAAAGAGTTGATAAATTTCTCCAGAGAGCTCTTGAAACTAGGATACCGAGTAAAAGCTGGAGTCAGGAGTGCACAGCGAGCAGAAAGTCTGGTCCAAGTATGTTTTCCTCTTACAAGGAACACTATTTTGATAACAGTGATTTTTTTTTTTTTCTTACCTCTCTTCCATAAGCAATATTAATATAAAATATGAGAATGCAGCTACATGTTTTTTCCAACCTGGTGGGGTTGGGAGATTCAGATTTGAAACATACTGGAAAAAACTTGCCAAACTCTATTGGGATGTATATTAAAAACCACAGAAGATTTTATTTTTAAATAATACATATAAACCTTTTGATGAAGAGTCTTAACGCTAAATTGACCCCCCCACTTGTGGTGATTTGCAGAGTGTTAAACAGTTGAAGGTGGACACAGATACCACAAGTGGACGTGAACGTAAGTGGAATGCACTAGAACAACATTATATGGTTAAATGAAATCAGTAGCATAATTGCAGTAGATATATTACTATAGAGTCAGGCTTGCACTAATAACAGATTACTTTTGGTGTTTAGCCCAGCAATAGAGATGCTTGAAATTGTGGAATGTGATCTAGAAAAGCCTGAACAGATTGTTCCAGCACTGGGTAGAGCTTCAGTGGTCATATGCTGCATAGGTGCCAGTGAGAAGGAAATTTTCGATGTGACTGGACCCTATCGTATTGATTTTCTAGCTACCAAAAACCTCATTGATGCAGGCAAGTCTGGATTTAAATTAAAATGAACTTTGGTTATTGGCACTTTCTCATACTTGTTTCTCACGTGGAACCTCTTGCTGCAAATACAATACTACAATAGTAAATAGTTAAGAATCATATATATGAAACTTACAAACTAATCTTATCCAATCCCCAATGACATGGTCAATTATACGAAACATTTATATTGCACTGATCAGTTTCCCCTCGGAACTGAAATATGTACGTCATGTAGTTACAGAACCAACAATTTGGTAGACATTGAGTTTCTAAACGACTGTCCTTTTATAGTGAAGTCAAAAGATTATCTATCCTTTGCCTTTGCATCAAATCGCTCGGTATCAATATGGATTCTAAACTATCTGCTCTTCTTTCTTACTATGAAGTGGCAGATGGTTGTTGCATTTCAGATCAAGGATGAATTAGAATATTGCAGGGTTTAAAAGCTGTGTTCATATGACACCCTTACCCTGCCATAGGTAGAAGCCTCTTTAAAGAAGGGGTGATGTTATTGCTGTCCTGTTTGACTTACTGAAGAAATACATTGATTAGAGGAATTATTCGATGATAAATTCACATGACTGATTATTCTAGTTTATCTGACATGCAGCAACTGCTACAAAAGTAAACCATTTTATTCTGGTTACTTCCCTGGGGACGAACAAATTTGGATTTCCTGCAGCTGTATTAAAGTAAGAAGACAATTATTATGCAGTTTTTGAATTTTACAAATACTTAAGCTAAATAAGAGAAAATTGATATACCTCGTATTGATTGTGGAAGTAACTCTTTTCTTCCTGCTCAAGTTTGTTTTGGGGAGTGTTGTGCTGGAAGAGGAAGGCAGAAGAAGCGCTCATAGCTAGTGGTCTTCCCTACACAGTGAGTGCTACTGTGCTACCATGCTAGATTAGGTAGTAGTCCTTTGTTAGTCATTATCTAATGAATGTACATGTGATTACTTTCAGATAGTGAGACCGGGAGGTATGGAAAGGCCTACTGATAGTTTTAAGGAAACTCATAACCTGACCCTTGCACAGGAGGACACTTTATTTGGAGGCTTAGTCTCAAATCTGCAGGTATAATAATTGTACTCCTTACTATGTGCTTCATACATCAAATTAAATGCTTGATTAGTCTAACATTACCCAAAACTCTTTCATTCAACCATTAAAGGGTATACTAAATATGTTTTTTCCTTAGATAATCTCAGGCATGTACTTGCTGTTATGATTTTTAAGATGGAGCTTTTCAAGATCTTGTTAGTGATAGTACGAGAAATTTGTCTTTCCTGGATAATGAAACTCTATCAGTTAAGTGCAGGTGGCAGAACTCTTGGCAATTATGGCACAAAACCAAAGTCTTTCTTACTGCAAAATAGTGGAAGTAGTTGCTGAAACAACTGCACCGTTAACTCCTATGACAGATCTCCTTACGAAGATCCCATCTAAATGGGAAGACTTGCAGAAAACAGAGGTAAACAATGCCTCCCCCCTAAGAAAAAGAAATCTGGAATGAGTAATCCTAAGTTCCTAACAACCCATTCGTTGATTCTTCGTTTGGGCCTTCACTTAGCAAGTGAGCTACACACTTCCAAAGGAACCTGTAACCTGAAAAGCGTCTTTTGAGCAAATTTTGAAATAGATGTCAGTTTGGTTTGGGCTTGCAGTTCTAAAGATCTTCAATGGGCATTAATCAAGAAATATAACATTGATTATCTTGGGAGTGTTGACAGTTGTATGGATAATTTAGTAGTCAAGCTCTCTTCTTAGCTGCTAGTAAGATTTGGTGAATGAATAAGTTATTGGCACATACATAAGAGTTTTTTCTAATAGATTTCATGAGCTAGCATCTTCCTTCTCCTGGATTGGTATGATTTTATTAATAAGATGGTCTATTCTATTGTGAACTTTCGGCCATCATATGCTGAGTCAGGTCCCAATCACAATTATTAGGAGATTTTGGACTTCAGAGTTATGGGTTGATTAATTGTTTAGAGGAAGTTGTAGTTGAAGCATTATGGTTTCACCTAGTATTAGTAATCCAGAGAAAAAAATTGCCTTTTTAACGACATTACCCCTTAGATCCTTACCACTGAATCCTCTATTTTTACTTTGGGCAGGGGGGTTACTCTTATTAAGGGATGACTGATAAGAATTTACTTTTCATAATCAGATATCAGAATCTCCTCGGACATCTGGAGCCTCACCCAAAACGAGCGTGATAGCTGAGGCAGCAAACACTCTTAAAGAGGAACTCTCAAAAGAAAAATTAGAGGCAAGCTCCTCACATTTCTGTCTCCTATCTGTTATAGATAGTTTTGGCCAATCATCTTCTCATCAATGGTTTCATTATCAGGAACCGGATGCTATAACTAAGACAGTTGAAGCAGAAACTGCCAAAAGTTTCATCAGTGAGATACCAACTGATGTAACTGAGAAAGAATCAGTTCAAGACAGAAGCGTTCTGGCCAGGCCTTTGTCTCCCTACACAATGTAAGCTGATGTCATATAATCTTTAATGGTCTTTCAAATGCAGCATGTTGGGTGCTTCTAAAAGCATTTAACACATTGGCATATGACTTACTGCGACACAGTTTGGACCCCTCGGCTGCTGGCCATTGTTTTCAAAGCAACATGTTGGGTATTGATAAAATTGAGAAAAACAAAGAGGGGTGCGGGTGGGGGGAGGATGCTCTGAGCTGTGTATGCCTTGCTCATGGCCTGTCATATGTCTAGGAAAGGAAGCTTTGCAAAATTTTTATCCTTTCGAGACCACATCTATTGCTTATTTGTTCAGATACAGTTTATTTAACCAAGCTATATCATCCCCCCATTATTTAAAGCCCTAATTATGACTCCATAATAAACATTTTAGGTATGATGACTTAAAGCCACCTTCATCGCCATGCCCAACTGCACCTAGTGGTCAAGTTAAGCAAATTGGGCTTGATACTACAGAGACTGGTGCGCCATATACCTCAACTAGTGTTTCAGTAACAGAGGTTGATATTGCCGAGACAGCTACAGTGGAATCGCAGAAATTGCAGCCTCTTTCTCCTTATACTGCGTAAGTTATATAATCAAATTTATCTGGCTTGAGCTAGCAAAAATACCCTTGACTTTTCTGTCTTTTATGAACAGCTATGAGGATCTGAAGCCTCCCAGCTCTCCAAGCCCATCAACTCCTGGTAACTCTCGTGAAGAATCTTTGGAGACTTCAACACCTGTGGATGGTGTACCACAGTTCATTGATGGAAATGGATCCTTGGCAGAAGATGTTCAAGAGGAATTGATTTTTTACCACTCACCATTCCCTGTGTAAGTCTTTGCAGTCATGCTGATATCCTGAGGGTGGTGAAGTCTTGTGATTATCCCAAACATGTGTAGAAATGTACTAGTGTAGTATGTTTTAATAGCAAGTGAATAAACTAGATTACCATAGGTAGTTTGCTCATATGCATGCATCATTCTCCCACATTTACTCAATCGATTCAGTCAAGATGCCCTTTGTATTTTGGCTTCATTTAACCACAACATAGAAATATTTTTTTACTTGAAGTTTTTATTCTATGGATCATAATTTAGTCAAGTCATTTAGCTAGTCAGTAGCTGGCTCTCATTTACACAGCATTTGAGATTCCCTTTTCAACTCATAAATTATTTGGGAAAATAGCTGATAAAAAAATTGGTTATCTTCTCTTTTCCTTGCAGATATGAAGACTTGAAGCCCCCTACTTCGCCAACCCCAACAACTCCTAATTCATTGGCCACTTCCATGGCCTCGGATGGTGCTGAATCTCAGACAGCTAGCTTCTCAAATAATGGTCCAGTTGAATCTATTGAAGCACAAGATGCAGGGAATGAGCAGACTTCCGCACAGCCAAAGCCAAGACCACTTTCACCGTATACAATGTAAGTCAGTCAACATTCAATCTTTCTTTCTTTTTTTTTCCCCGAATATTTTCTGTTTACCATTTCAATGGATAAGAGGTTTCTCATCTTGCTGGAATACTAAACTGAATATGCACACGTATAGTTGTATTGTCCTGAGAGCAGAATTCCAGTCTTTCTTTTTGGAAATGGTGGTGGTTGCTCAACTGATTTGACAAATTGAAAGATTATTTAAGTGTGTCTATAAAGTTAGCCTGATTGTAACTCATTGAGGCTAGCTGCTAACTAGTTAAAGACATTTTCATTGTAGTATAATTGTCTGGTAATCTGGTATAGCTGAAAACTTTGTATTAGTATATTGTCTTTATTTTAAGCATCTATATATAGTAAGTAGGATTTCAACATCTACCCATTCCTTACGTAGATAAAGAATGCCTATGCTGGAAGGCGCACAATGCGCTCCACTACTTGTTCCTCAACAATATGGTTAAAGAAGGGAGTTAAAACCTATATATCATATAGTTGGAATAGAATGCCAAAATTGTATCACTTTAGAGCTTTTGTTTCTGGACCACAATGTGTCGCCTGCTGACATCCTGTTCATTTTTTGGATGAAGGTATGACGATATGAAGCCACCAAGTAGTCCAATGCCTTCACCAGGGAATAACTAACTATCTAGAGCGGGTGCTGCCAACCAAGGGACCTCTAACACGCTGTTGAACCATCTCCATTTTGATGAACTGATGAAAACTTCCTGTTAGTTCTCTGTTACATCTGAAAAGCCGAAGATTTTTTTTTTTCAAGTAAAAGTTATAAATTCTATCAGATTGTGAGATACTAAAATGTGTTTGTTTTAATTACATATTAAAGCCCAAGCGATCTGTTGTGTATAGTCCATGAGATTTCAGACTTAAGGGGAGCTTTTTTATCTCAAATTTTGTATTGCTTTCAAACGTAAATGATGAACGATCTCCTTAATTATGCTATTGTCTGGTTTCAAATACAGTATATGTATTAATCAAAGTGCTCAATTTCAGTGGTTGGTGAACTTTGTGGTGGTTGATTTCCAGCATTTTGGTCGTGGTCAAAGATGTAATACTTGCCTGAATTAATAAATATCATACCTTTTTGAGCAGCATGGGAGGATTCTTAAAAGAATTGTTTTTATTAATGCAATTTGCATCAAGTATTTTCTATTTAAAAACTTGGTAAATAAGAAGTAGTTTGTGTCCCTTCAGCTCCATTTGTATCACATCTATACCTATTGTCTTTATTTCGAAAAAGAAATCTAAAACATATCACATCCATGTATCGCTTGATTTTCTGTGCTACTGCTTTTTTCTATTGTTTTCAGCTCTTCAGTGCGGCGAATTATGTAACAGACAGGTTAGCACTGCTCGAAGTTAAAGCTCAAATAACCGATGATCCTTTCAGTGTGATGAACTCATAGAATGACAGCCTCCATTTTTGTGAGTGGCATGGAGTTATATGTGATTATCAGCACAAGACCTGCACTCCTTGAAGTTCGGAGGCTCACTTTCTCCTTATATAGGAAATCTAAGTTTCCTCAAAGTGTTGAACCTTCAGAATAACAGCTTTGGCGGCACAATTCCTCCTGAGGTTGGTCGTTTACACAACTTGCAATCTCTCTTGCTCACTAATAATTCCATTCCTTCCAATATATCGCGTTGTTCTAGCCTTATTGAGCTGGGAGCTAGGACCAACAAGTTGGTGGGAAGGATCCCTCCCGGGTTTGGTTTCTTTTTACATCTACATCGCCTTGACTTATCCACTAACAACTTGACAGGTACCATTCCTTCTTCTCTAGGAAACTTATCATCTCTCAGTATGCTCCATCTGGGTGGAAACAACTTGGTTGAGAAGATCCCAGACGACCTAGGAAATCTGAAAAATCTCACCATATAAGCTCCAATATGCTGTCTGGAATAGTCCCATCGTCGATCTTTAACCTCTCATTCATGACTTAGAGGGACACCTTCCTTGAGATTTAGGCAACACTCTTCCTTATCTGCAGTTCTTATCCATAGCCGGGAACCAATTCACTGGACTCATCCCTGCTTCAATCTCTAATTCTTCTAATCTCGGAGTGCTCCGATTGTCCGAGAACTATCTTCAAGGACCAGTTCCTTCTTTACAAAAGTTACAATGGCTTACTGACCTTGTCATTGGTGATAACTCCCTTGGCAGTGGCGAAGCTACTGATTTAGACTTTGTTTCTTCCTTGTCCAATGCTACCAAGTTACAATGGTTGGATATTGGTCCAAATAGTTTCAGGGGAATACTACCAAAAATCATTTGCAATTTCTCAACGCTTACATTTTTGAAATTTGAGAGCAACAAGATAGCTGGGAAATTCCAACATGCATAGAAAATCTTGTAGAGTTGCAGATATTTAACATAAACACGTACCCATTCTTACAAAATTGATACGTTTGGGTTTTTTTTAACTATAAATATACTAACTATTTATATACTAACTAATTAAAACCATCATTTTTTTAGTAACATATAATAAACAAATTTTATTTGAAATATTTTGTTAAGTAGGTATTACTATAAAATTGTAAAGTATCAATTTTTTTGGTATATTTTTAAAACATTAATTTTTTTTTAATACTATTTAATTATACATATTTAATTTACTACGTATGACTAATGCATAAGAAGAGGGTAATTTTTTTTTTTAAAAAAAAAAAAACTCTAGATAATAACGAGTTAGCAATTATAACTTTTGGTAGGGAAGTATGTCGATTGTTACCTGTTTACGTTAGCGGTACATGCATGTTACCTGTAATCTTACCTATTTTAAGTTAAATAAGGGTGAAGGTTGTATTATAAAATAATAACCCAAAGATTGTATCATTTTGAGCGGGTAGAGTGTTGTATTATTTTTAGTAAATTTTATAATATCAACTTTTTAATTTTTTTTAGTAGCATATTATTATACATTTTTAAGGTCACCTGTAACCTTATCAATCATTGATATGTGTGATAATTGTGTGTCCCAATCTTCTCCTTGTTGGGTTACAGGTGATAATTGATATGTGTTTCAATCAAGTTTAAATATGATTAATTATTGTGGGATAGAGGGAATAGATGACTTATGCCATAGCATATACGGAGTACTCTATAGTGATATTGACTTGACCAATGTGAGAAATTCTTATGATAAATCCAATAATAGATTGTAGAGAACTAGTGACGAAGGGAAGAAATAGAAGAATTTTCAAAACTACCGAACGTATGGCTTATGACTGATTTTGATAGCACTAGACTTTCTCTAACCAAGTTGTGGTTCGCATACGTTATTTTCAATTTTATTTTATTATGAAACAAAATTTCATAGAAATGAAGTATTAGTATATCCTAAATTTCCAATTTTCAAGTCGTCTCTTTTATTTATAGAGAAATAGCAACGAAATTGTCGGAGCTGTCCGAGAGCGAAAGAAAAATAAACTTTCTGTAATCGTATATCAGGTCAGTTTATTTGTATATAGTTGTATGCGATCACAGCCTCACAAGATCCCACATAAATATATTATCACTTATAAATCAACGAGAATTCATGGTCAAAGTTTTAAAAGTTTGACCCGTATTTTTGCCCCGGGACAAAAATTAAGGAATGGAGGGAGTAATTGTCTAGATGTGTCAAGGGACTAGGGGTGAAAGTTCGGTTTTCGGTTTGGTTTATAGGCCAAACCGAAACCGAACCACACTAATTCGGTTTTTGGTTTTTGGAAACCAAACCGCACCACTTTACTTTTGAAACCAAACCAAACCAAACCATACAAATTTCGGTTTCAAAAGAGAAAACCGAACCAAACCGAATTTTTTTGGGCCTTGTTTATTTGGGATTTAATCTGCAATTTTTGTTCGGTTTTTGGTTTTTGGAAACCAAACCGCACCACTTTACTTTTGAAACCAAACCAAACCAAACCAAACCATACAAATTTCGGTTTCAAAAGAGAAAACCGAACCAAACCGAATTTTTTTGGGCCTTGTTTATTTGGGATTTAATCTGCAATTTTTGTGGGCTTAAATCATATAAATATTATATTCAACAACATATGTAGTAGCATAAATGCTTAATGAGATTTAAACAACATTAACAAGTTCTAAAACTTCAAAGTTATAATTCAAAGTTATAAAAGCTCAACACCTCATCCCAAAAAAAAATAAAATTGTTCAACATTACAACTTTAACAATTGTTTAACAGCAGTAGCAACAAGCAGCAGGGCAGCAGCAACATCATTACAGCAGGTCAGCACTCAGCAGCATAGAACCCTACAACTGCAAAGAAATTGTCATTCCATCCATATATCCTCAATTTCACAAGTCAGTTTTTCAGCTTACTCAAATTTGTGACATAGACATGAAAAAATGCAATCAGAAGTCAAAACCCATTGTTCAGAAGAAAAAACACAACAAGAAGAAACAACTAAGTATAAACAGCAAAAAAAAACACAAATTCGCACAAAAACCACTTCAACCCAACAAATTATAGCTCAAATTAAGCTACCCCAGAAGCAAAATCAATATATTACAATAATCTCATAATAATTAATGTGGGAGTACCATATATTTACCAATAAACAAAAACTTCCATTTCCTATTCTTCTTACACGAGAATGACACTTATCATTATCAACTCTTCAAGTTGAACTAAAAGTACTAATTCATACTAAATTACCCCAAAATAAAATAAAAATTAAAAAAAAAACCCACATGAAACTAAGGGGGCGTTTGGTATCAACTTTGTAAAGGTAACGGAATGGAAACAAATTAGGAGGGGAAAGGGTAATGTATAGTGTTACCCTTACTAGTTGTTTGGTATTACTAAGAAAACGTAAACGATTAACAACCAATTAATTTCCTTTTGTTTGGTATAAAAAAAGGAAAACAATTTTTCTTTTTTAAAACAAAAAAGGGAAAACAAAATTTAAAATATTGGTGGGCGACAATTATCACAATTCAGAAGCTGCTTTATTGCTTCAACTTGTTCGAAATTCTTCTCTCTTTTTTCTTACTCTAATTTAATTACTCTAATTCAATAACCAAATTGATCACATCATCAAAAAATCAGATGACTAGATCCTTTTTTCTTTTATTGATCATAAAAAGACAACTACACCAGATTAAAACCAGCAGACCATCAAAAATCAAAATTATCAACATCAAATCAGATCATCGCAAAGGCAGATCAATCTTCATCATCGATCATCACGAAAGCACATTCGTTTTTTCTTTTTTTTTTTTTAATTTTTGGTGGGTGAGATGTGAAAATGATGAGTTGTTGTTGAGCAATTTTATTTGACCCAATTTGACGTGTCTTGAATAATGAAGCAAAATCTTGAACAATGACATGCTGAGAAATTGAATTCAGAAGAGAGAGATTGGGTGAGTAAGAACCATAAATTACTAGGCTCTAAAACACACACTAGTTAAAAACATATCCTCGAAATAAATTACCAAAATTAAAAGTTACAGAGAAGAATTTACATAATACAACTATACAAGTACACAACCATTGCATTGCATAAAAATTGGAATCAAAATCATGAATACAAGAAAAACATCCAAGTAAACCAAACCAAAAAAAACAAAAAAACAAACGAACACTCACCAATCTGAACGGTGAAGTGGTGAAGTGGTGAACGGCAACGGTGGAGAGTGAAACTGAAAAGGTGAGCTATCTGGATTCGCAATGAAACTGAGAAATTCGCAAGAGGATTAGAGGAGAGGAAGTCAGGAGACTAGGAGAGACCGAGAGAGAATGAGGGATTGAGGGTTAGGGACTTAGGGTTTTTTTTTTCTGATTTTATACTTAGGGTAAATTTGGGCTGGGCCAAGGGTTTTTTTTATGTTGGGCCAAAATTTCGGTTTTCGGTTTTTTTCGGTTTTTTATTTCCTCAAACCGAAACCAAACCGAAAACCGAATTATTTTTTTTTTTAAAAACCGAACCGAACCATTTCCGAAAAAAAACCGAACCATATTTCTTATTCGGTTCGGTTTTCGGTTTGGTTCGGTTTTAACCCGAATTTGTTTCACCCCTACAAGGGACACTGACATGTAATC